TACTACAATGACTTGAGAAGACTTGATGCTTCTGCTAAAAATATATATGTTTTTAGAAAATACTTTTCACTTTACAGTTGATAAATGGAGTGATTAATTCTACAGGAACAAACTGGAACATGTCCCTCCCACTTCTGTTTGTTATTTTGGATGTAACTAAAGTACTGTGAGATGGTATCGTCAAATGTACTACAGTAATATACAGTACAATACAATACAATACACAGTGCTGGGGAGTAACAGATTATGTGTACCGGCACTACGTAATCAGAATACAAGTTATGAGTAACTGTATTCAGTTACAGTTACTGTTTGAATGAGTGGTTATTGGATTACAGTTACTTTGTTGAAATAAATGGATTACATGGCAGTATTTTCCTGTTTTACATTTTGGGCTATATTCTTTTTTTTTTTCTTTTCTTTTTTTTCGGTAATTCCACTCACTGCCAGAAAATCAAACAGAACACACACAGTAAGAGCTGAGTAAACATCTTGTTAACGTTGGTGGTGTTAGTCACACAGTGGACGAGGTCGTTAATAATTGTTGTTGTTAATAATCTGATTTCACATCATTTTGAGTAAAAAACATCCAACATTACAGATTTTTACTGGACTGGCACCTTTATGTTTGGACTGAAAGTGATTTTTTTTTAATGAACAACATGACACTAACAGTAGGTGGACATAATTGAAGGCAGCAGCGATCTCATATAGAAATCATTTCTCTATCAATAATATTTTTAATATGTTTAAGGAAAGACTGGACTTTTTATTGTCTTTAAGGAGATAAAACATCTTATGTTCAGATTTTCTAGTCTTTGCTTCTTTATAGTAAACAGTTGCCTGTTCATGGAGACTTGGGCTCAACAGCCAATTTGAAGAGAACAAACAAGAATTTTCAGCATGTGGTTGCTACTTTCATGTAGTTTTAAAAAGCATGACAGTATCAAGTAATCCAAAGTATTCAGATTACATTACTCACTCAAGTAATTTAATGGATTACGTTACAAACTACATTTTGGGGTATGTAATCTGTAATCTGTAGGGGAATACATTTTAAAAGTCACCTTCCCAACACTGACAATACAGTACAATACAGTAAATCAGAGAAAACCACAAACTACAGAGAACTACTTGACTAAATAACTGTTATTAAGCAGTTTTCAATCTTAATTATTTCTGTTCTGTTCATAATAATTCACACCAAGATCTTGTCAAGACATTTAAAAAGGAAAATGCATTTCTATAACTCTTATATAAATACTCATATATAAATATACCATGACTTTTTAAGTACAATTTTGTTTAAAATTCATATAAACTGCAGAAATCTAAACTATATTTGGTACTTTGGTTAAAGACATGAAATGACTTGAAACTCAAAGCAGACGACTTGGACTTGATTTGGATTATGGGCCAGTGACTCGAGACTAGACTTGGATTTGCCTGTATTTGACTTGGGACTTGACTCGGACTTGAGCTCAAAGACTTGAGACTTACTTGAGACTGGCAAAACAACAACTTGGTCTCACCTCTGCCAATCAAATCTCTCCATCTGATGCCAAAAATGCTGTGTGTTACTGTTTTATTGAAGTGCTCATATAAAAGTGTTTTCAGCATGCAGCTTTGTCCGATCAGGTTCATTAGTTCTTCACTTTTTAATCATTTACAGATTATTTTAGTGAGATCTGCATTTTGATGTTGTAACTTTTGGACATTTTTTTGACTGCACTGGTGTCTCACTTTTGTGTTTTGCACGTAGTCTTAAGCAAAGTTATCCGACATCTCTCAAAGTTAGTCAGCAGTTACTCTAAAGCGTGTTTTCCTGCAGCGACGGATCACTGCAGAACTTCCCTGTTCTTGAAATGTTTGGGTGACGTTTCCTTTTGATAAAATCAGAGTGAAGAGTGAAGTTGAAAGACCTGGAACAAGTTTATCAGCATAAGTGGATTTATCTCCAGTGTTTATGAAAGCTACAAAAGAAGCTACAACACTGATTCAAAGACTGTGAACTCGTCATATGACACTGCAAAAGGTAAGAGCGTTTTTATTTTGTGGTTCAAATTTATGGAAGTATACTTTACCAACAGATTAGGCATTCATTCATTCATCTTAAAGGTATTAAAGTAACTCCACAGAGACAAACAACAGGAGAGACGTTACACAGGAGGTTTTGAGCAATAAAAACTTTTCAACACAATAAAAGCTCCATAGATTGATTTAAAGATCTTAGATTAAGCTAAATGGACTCTTCTGAGCTTTAAACCCTGTTAGAATGTTGTTGTTTGCACTTTAAGGTTTTATTTTACTTTTATTTACTTGATTTGTCTAATTAAATACTCACAATTTGCACTACTTTTCCTTGCAATTTCTTTTTTTATTTTATTTTGACTTGTACATTTACATTTATACAATTATGCCTTATTGACTCTTTTTTTCTACTTATTTAGAACTTATTATCACCATTTACATGTTTATTCTTTGTTACAGATAGATAGTATAAGTATAAGTAGTAAGTAGTAGTAGTAGTAGTAGTAGTAGTAGTGTGGTGGTGGTAGATCTAGTAGTATGTAGTAATGGTTTATTGGTAAACAAATATTTATACACTAGTTTATAGTAGTATTAGTAGTGGTAGTAGTAGAATTAGGAGTGATAAGTAGAAATAGTAGTGGTTACAGAAATACTTACAGTACTACTAGTAGTAGTAGTTGTACCAGCAGTATATAGATAGATATTATAAATAGTAGTAATTTTAGTTTTAGATAGATAGTATAGTAGATAGTAGTAGTAGTTACTGTAGTAGTAGTAGTAGTAATTATAGTATTAGGAGTAGTAGTAGTAGTAGTAACAGCACCACTCCAATCGAAGTAGCAGCAGAAGTGGTAGTAGTAGTAGCAGTAGTAGTAGGATTAGTTTATAGCAGTATTAGTAGTAGTGATAGTAGTAGAATTAAGACTGATAAGTAGAAGTGGTAATCACAGAAATAATTACAGTAGTAACAGTAGTAGTACTGTAGTAGTAAAGGTGTAGTTGTAGTAGAAGTAGTAGTAGCTCGTAGTTATTATAATATATTGGGATGTGTGAGCTACTGTGTCCAGTAAAAGTTTGTCTAAGTCAAAGTGACCTCCTCACAAACAGAAGGTGCCTGGGAGATGTGTCTGTCTGCATCTCCAAGGCACAAAATGCTCTGTTCCACCTTGTGATGTCATGAAGTGGTAGTTTTCAACAGCTCCTTTTACCTTTAGTTTGTAGAGAATAGTTATTCCAGGGCTGATGTTGTTCATTCTTACTTTGCTTAGAGTATTTACTTCTGAAAATCTTCTGCCACATTTAGTGCAACAGAAAGTACAAAAAGCCTGTAGCATCGCAAATGTCCATAAGGAGCTTGGACTAAACTAAGACTAAACCAGGACTACATCAGGTCTAAACCAGGACTACATCAGGTCTAAACCAGGACTACATCAGGTCTAAACCAGGACTACATCAGGTCTAAACCAGGACTACATCAGGTCTAAACCAGGACTACATCAGGTCTAAACCAGGACTACATCAGGTCTAAACCAGGACTACATCAGGTCTAAACCAGGACTAAACTAAGACTAAACCAGGTCTACATCAGGTCTAAACCAGGACTACATCAGGTCTAAACCAGGACTAAACTAAGGACTAAACCAGGACTACATCAGGTCTAAACCAGGACTACATCAGGTCTAAACTACAGGACTACATCAGGTCTAAACCAGGACTAAACTAAACTAAACCAGGACTACATCAGGTCTAAAAACCAGGACTACATCAGGTCTAAACCAGGACTAACACTATCAGGTCTAAAACCAGGACTACATCAGGTCTAAACCAGGACTACAAAGGACTAAACAGGACTAAACCAGGTCTAAACCAGGACTACATCAGGTCTAAACCAGGACTAAACTAAGACTAAACCAGGACTACATCAGGTCTAAACCAGGACTAAACTAAGACTAAATCAGGACTACATCAGGTCTAAACCAGGACTACATCAAGGTCTAAACAGGACTAAACATCAGGTCTAAACCAGGACTAAACTAAGACTAAAACCAGGACTACATCAGGTCTAAACCAGGACTACATCAGGTCTAAACCAGGACTAAACTAAGACTAAACCAGGACTACATCAGGTCTAAACCAGGACTAAACTAAAACTAAAACCAGGACTACATCAGGTCTAAACCAGGACTACATCAGGTCTAAACCAGGACTACATCAGGTCTAAACCAGGACTAAACTAAGACTAAACCAGGACTACATCAGGTCTAAACCAGGACTACATCAGGTCTAAACCAGGACTAAACTAAGACTAAACCAGGACTACATCAGGTCTAAACCAGGACTACATCAGGTCAGGACTAAACTAAACAGGACTACATCAGGTCTAAACCAGGACTAAACTAAACTAAAAACCAGGACTACATCAGGTCTAAACCAGGACTACAAGACTAAACCAGGACTACATCAGGTCTAAACCAGGACTAAATAAACTAAACAGGACTACATCAGGTCTAAACCAGGACTACATCAGGTCTAAACCAGGACTACTAAAAACCAGGACTAAATCAGGTCTAAACCAGGACTAAACTAAGACTAAACCAGGACTACATCAGGTCTAAACCAGGACTAAACTAAAACTAAAACCAGGACTACATCAGGTCTAAACCAGGACTAAACTAAAACTAAAGCAGGACTACATCAGGTCTAAACCAGGTCTACATCAGGTCTAAACCAGGGACTAAACTAAGACTAAACCAGGACTAAACCAGGACTATCACAATTTTTGACTCATCTGATTCCTGCCAACAGTAAAGAGGAACATAAATTAAAATTTGTTTTGCCAAAACACAGAAAACCACATTTGCAAATGACCATAAAGCAAAAAAAAAAAAAAAAATAAAAATAATAATAAAAAAATGCAGAGACAGAAGCCTCAGATTATTTCGATTTTATTGATACCAGCCATTCCAAACTGGGTGTGTCCCAGTTTAGATTTCTAAAAATCTGGTCACCCAACTCTTGTTACATGGATACGGGAAAAACAAAACAAAAACAAAGCTCATTTCACAAAATCCAACAGTCTCTTAACTTTTATCCTTTGAACTGCATGAGCTGCACTTCTAAGTTTGTTAAAATCCAATGAAATGATGTTAAAAACTGAGCCATAAATCAAAATAGTTTCAAAACTGCAGTCAACCACAAAATTAAAGAAAATAAAAAATAAAAAAATAAAAAATAGGCAACATTTGTGAAATATGCTGTGTATAATTCAGCTATATACATATAATAACGTAAAATACAAACAAACTAACAAAACCTTACTCTGAAAGTCCCTCCCGGAAGTCAGCGCGCAGTCGTCCATCCTCTGCCCGCTCCGAGCTGCTCCTCCTCGGTCTGCTCAGATCCAAGGAGCCGCTGGTATGGACGGAGCCGGGTAACTTTCCGGAGCACTTTCTTCAACGAAAAACACAAGGAATCCACTTAATAACTATGCAAATACGTGACAACAACTACAATCACACGTAAAAATGGGAATATAATGTTCGTTCACGTTTTAAATCACGTCGGAGGAGCAGTGGAGATTTCATCCAAGTCGGACGCTGAAAGAAAGAGGTACGACTTATTGTGTTTTTGCATCTTTTTCGCAGTGAATAGTTTATTTTGCTGCAGTTTTGCACGTGAAAAGGGGAGAATTGCGTGTGTTTAGAGTAGGGCAGAGTAATTAGCGAGGTGTTAGTGAGTTTGTGGTGATTTTGGGAGAAGAAAAGAGCGCTTTGTTGGAGAGATCCCGCGGGACTTGACGCGTAACGCCACCTGTTGCCTTTACGCCAAACCATAAGAAAGACAAATGGGGTTCAATGAGTAAGGTACAGTGAAGACTAAACAAGGACTAAACCAGGATTAAACCAGGACTAAACCGGGACTAAACGAGGACTCAACAAGGACTAAACCGGGACTGAACCAAGACTAAACCTGGACTAAACCGGGGATCATCCGGGACTGAACCATGATTAAACCAAGAAGGAATGAACTACAAAAATAAACCAGGACTAACGCAAGAAATGAGCCAGGTGCAAACTAGGAATAAACTAGGAACAAACCAGGAATAATCTGGGACAGAGCAGGACAATACCAGGACTAAACCAAGAAATTTACCTGAACTGAACCAGGACTAAACCCGGATTTTACCAAGATTTAACCAGGACCAAACAAGGAATGAACCAGGACTATATCAAGAGTAAACCAGGACTAAACTGGGATTAAACCAGGACTAAACAAGGACTGAACTAGGACTGAACCAAGACTAAACCGGGACTAAAGCGGGACTCAAACCGGGACTCAACCAGGACTAAACCAAGAAAGAATGAACTAGAAAAATAAACCAGGACAAACTCAAGAAATGAGTCAGGTATAAACTATGAATAAACCAGGAATAAACCAGGAAATTGACCAGGACTGAACCAGGACTAAACCAAGATTTAACCAGGACTAAACTAGGTATGAACCATGACTAAACCAAGACTAAACCAGATTTAAACTGGGAATAAACCAGGAATAATCTGGGATAGAACAGGACAATACCAGGACTAAACCAAGACTAAACCAGGACTAAACCAAGAAATTGACCTGGACTGAACCAGGATTTAACCAAGATTTAACCAGGACTAAACTAGGAATGAACCACGACAAAACCAAATCTAAACTAGAAACAAATCCCGGACTAAAACAGATATAAACCAGGAATAAACTAGGAATAAACCTGAAATGAGACAGAACAGGACAATACCAGGACTAAACCAAGAAACTGACCAGGACTGAACCAGGACTAAACCAAGATTTAACCAGGACTAAACAAGAAATGAACCACGACTAAACTAAGACTAAACCAGGTCTAAACTGTGAACAAACCCTGTAATAAACCAGATATAAACCAGGTCTAAACAAGGAATAATCTGGGATAGAACAGGACAATACCGGGACTAATCCAAGAAATTGACCAGGACTGAACCAGGATTTAACCAAGATTTAAGAAGGAATAAACCAGGAATAATCTGGGACTGAACAGGACAATACCAGGACTGAACTCAGACTAAAGAATAAACTAAGAATGAACCAGGTCTCAACCAGGTCCCAACTAAATCTGGTCCAAACTAAGAATGCATCAGAACTAAACTAAACTGTGAAAAATCTGGGAATGGTCTAAACCTGGACTAAATCAGGTCTAAAATTGGTTTTATCCAAGACTAAACCAGGATTAAACCAGAGTGAACTAAATTAGCTTTAAATCTGGACTAAACTAGGACTAAACTGTGTCAAAACCGGTTATAGCCATGAGGGAAAAATGCTATTAAACTGTTACTTGGTTAAACCTGAACTGAAACAGGTCTAAACTAGAACTAAACCAGACCAAACATGGGTTAAAACTGGGATTGCTTAATAACGCAAGTAGATAAACGAGGAGCAGAGTACCAGGCAGATGTTGGCATCTAAAACCATAACACTAGAAAGCAACCTGGACTGAAACCAGCAGTGATGGACCCAGACTGAAGCATTTCTCAAGATTTCGTTTGTAAATACAGTAGAATAATTTATGTGTTCTCTGATACTGTTAAGTAAGGCTGGAAAAAAAACAACAAACTGATGACTTTCAATTATTTTACGATGCGAATTGTCAATTTGTCATTTGTATTTATTGAACACTTGTTATGTGGAGCATACACAGACTCCAAACCATGTCTTGTGCTTAGAGAAGAGGCTTTAGGATCCCAGTGTGAGATAGTATTTTGACCCCCATAGTATATCAACCCCGGGGTGAACATACCACTATAGTAGTAGTGACCCCCTGTAGGATTCTGACTCCCCTTACTTTTTTCTTTAGTAGTTACTTATCTGATCATTATTTCTCATGTCATTTACTTTGATTATGTTTGATTTTGAACATACACTGACTCCCTGTTTTGTGTATCAAATCACTGTAACACCTCTATGCCTTAAGTACATTACTCATCATGTTGTAGGCGCGAAAATATGAACACACATCTTCATGTTACATTTTCATCTAATGCAGTTGTCTTTATGTAAGAGTTTACACATCATAACTATAATAAACATATTGGGGGGTCAGATTACTATAGTCATAGGTATCCCCTATTTACCGTATTTTCCGGGCTGTTAGGTGCTCTGGATTATAACACGCACTGTCATTTATTGGTCTATTTTCGAACTTTTTCACAAAAAAAAACGCGCTGGACTTTAAACGAAACCCAACAGTGTGATGGGTGAGTGGTTTTTGTTTGTTTGTGGTGTTCACGGTGACTCTGGGCTTTGTTCAGTTGTGGTGTGTAGGGAGGGTGCTGTCTGGGACCAACGGATTGTCGGCGTGTTCACAGTGACTCAGTTGTTCAGTCGTGTCTAGAAGTGGCACATTGCACTCGCTTTTTCGGTTCGTTCCTCCGTTCTGTTCCTCGTCGGCGTGGAGTGATGAGTGTGGCTGCGGGTGTGTTTCGTTGTGCGGTCACTGTCTGCTCCGTGTGTGTTTGCGTGCGCTGCGGGTGGTGCGGTTTTGTAGTTTACTGGAGTCGTGCTGGGACACCCGAGTGGATTCATGTATAGGGCGCTCTGGATTGCGGGGCGCGCAATTGTTTTTTGATGCGGTTGAAGGCTTAAGAGCGCGTGTAATAGCCTGGAAAATATGGTAACTACTCAACTGATCAGCCCTGTCTATTTAACAAGATTCCAAATCATTATACATCACTTTGATTACCTAACTAATTAATAACTACTTATCTCATTTTCAGTCAAATATATTTAAACAACTAAGTAGTTTTTAGTGAGTTCTTCAAAACCACTTTTAAATATGTCAATATGTTTTAATTTTCAGATATAGTATTAATATTCAAAGTTCTTCTATAGAATTCAAGTTCTGTTTTTAGTTAAATACAGATTTTCATAGGGGGATTCTGACCCCGGGGTCAAAATACTATACCACACCGGCAGAGCAGTGATGACCTGGAAGTGACACAGGAAATGTTTACATGCTGTTTTAATGGAAAAAAAGAGTTTTGTTGGTAAACTGCCTGAGATTTACATGTAGCCTCATCGCACTTTTACTTCATTTTGGTCGAATTGCGTTAAAGTATTACTTTCAGCGTAGGGGTGGGACAAGATCTTGTGCCGCAAGATCTCAGGAGACAAAATTGCCACAAGATTGTACACACATGAGAAAACTGATCTTGTGAAATTTTTTTCCCTGAATTTCCCTTTGGTTTGGACAAAAAAAAAAAGCTGGTGAGTTTCACAGTTTGAGAAGCTGTAGTTCCAAAAATCAGGACTACAGTGAGCGCTAATAAACACAAATAGTGAAGCCAAAATCTCATCTTTTGTCGTTCTCGTGGACCCAATCTCGTGATGTGTGTCGTCTCGTGAAGATTGCGTCTCGTCCCACCGTGAATTCAGAGGGCTTTTGGCGATCTATCAGAAATACCGATTAGGTTTGAGCAATTATTCTGAATCATTTTGTTTAAACAGAGGATATAACTTTGTATTTGTATTGAACATGAGTCAATTTTGATAACACATGACAATAAAACAATAATGTGAGTCATTTTATTGCCCATTTCTCGTGCTGTACCAGTGTGGGTGTGTGTTGAGGTAACGCTCCTCTCTCCTTCTCTCTTTGTTGACTTAAACTCCAGCTAAACTCACACTTTAACGACCCCGAAGAGTTACAATGGCCCGTGGAGATCCAGGCCTGTGGAGATCCAGGAAGACGGAGACACAAAAGACTACACCAGGCTTAGAACTTTACATTGCAAATGAATGGAAAGGCACTGGAGCAAGTCAGAGTTACTTAAGCCTAAACTCACAACTGCTAAAGGGATTAAGGAGGTCAAGATTTATTCTGTTGGTTAATAAGTGTCACAGATAATCATAGAATTTAAAATGAATACCCCTGGCTATTTTAGAAGCAAAATTAAAGGTGCATTATGTAAATTTTCTGGTGGAGAGTCAGTTGCTTTTCTCCATGGAGATATTATTGCTTTGTCTGGAATATTTCACAGTTGCCATGTTTGGACGAGAGCTTTAATTCTGAATAAAAATTAATTTAGCTTTAAAAAGACCATGTCAACACTTAATTCCTAATGAAAATGAGTAAGTGAGTGGTTTATTCCTATTTTAAAGCCAAATTAATTAATTTCTGGATCACGCAAATGTTTATTCTTCTTAAAAATAATGTCGGTCGTTCAGTTCATGCTCATTGTGTCGCCCTTCTGACGAGATCCGGACGATCTGTCTCCACCAGTCCTGGCTTCGGACTTTCATCCATGTCTCTCTGGATTTGCGAGCAGGATGCAAGAGTCGGGGAGGTAGAGCAGCCGTTGACTCAGTTTGTCTTCTTCTTCCCTTCTCCTCCTCAGCAGACAGACGTAAAGCGTGACGAGAGAATTCTCCAGCTGCTGCGCAAATATCATCAGAACCACTGTGAGAAAAGCTTGGATCATGTTTGTGTCCGTGGCGTAACGACAAACTGAGATGACAAAAAAGCCGGCAGCAGCTGAAGTGTGTGTTTTCTTCTGACAGACGTAAATATATTTGTGCTCCCCCTGTCCAAT